TTTTTACACTTGTCCTTCTCCCTAACAGCATAAGAAGGACTAGAGATCTCCCATTTGCCTCCCATATGCTCCTGTCTTGAGATTAAAACTTTAAGTGAATCAGAAGATGTATTTGTCCGAGTTCTCAAGTGCACAATACTAAAATCAACTCTGGTTAATCATTTAAAGGATATTAGTGCCTCATATAATTCACAAGAGAGCTGACGAATAGGCTCAGAAACAGCCAAGTCAAGAGAAGTCAAGGCCTCTGAGAACCAGCCACATAACAAAAAAGAGAATTGTATAGAGTGGGAATTATATTTCAATAAAGTTGAGTGAATCACAAGGTCTAGCTCCAGTTCAGTGTGGTCCTTGACCATTAGGGTTCTAATTTAAACATTCAGCCACCAAATGAATTTTGAACATTTGCCAACCATCACTTAGTTCTAGAGGTTAACAAATACATGGTTCCTGATCTCAGCGAAGGCCTAGGCTTGTTGAGGATACAAATAAACATATTTGTGCTAATCACACTGGTCAAAGCAGTCTAAGGTAGAGAGATGATGACTGCCCTCTTGTGGCTTCCCGTTGCGAGTCCTTGGGGAGGGGGAGATCACCAGGATTTATGGTTTTCAGCTTTGCAAGTCTAGGGTCTGGTTTGGATTTATTCAGCGCACACACTAATTAAACTCAGAGGACATGGGTGAATCAGTAAGGGTGTCAATATGTTAATTTTCAACTGTAACTTCAAGTTAAAAAGTGTGTTCAATTTTATATCAGCTTCCATTTGTGCCTACTGTTAAAGGCACCTTCATCCTGGTATCAAGATATTTAGGAGGCCAAATTTGAAATCAAGTTTTTTTGGTGGGCAGAAAATCAGAGAAAATGGCATAAGTTAGTTGAAAGGCCATGGAGCAGCTCAATGAAGCAACCATGAACTTATGACAGTGACTCTTTCTATGAATCAGTTGCTGCCAGATTCATGTGACCATGTTGGGAGGCAGTTGGAGGATTCTGCGGATCTGCCCACCCTCATTTATTTCCCATGAATAAGCACTTCAAAAATCTTGCCTATTAGTTGCTCCTTTGTCTTCTAACCTTCTTGCTTTTCCATTTTTTTTCTGTTTGCATATTCGAAGAATGGTTATAAATGTAGGTAACAGAGTAACTTCGTAGTTCCCTTTCACATGGTGGTAGCTATTACCACCACAGCCACAAGATTGGCTTTGAACGGACCTAGAGATTATATAACCTCAGCCGAGTTATCTCTACGGATGGTTGGCTGATGTCTTTCCTCACGTATTTCTTTGGGGTTGGGAGGATTGCATCTCGGCGAATTGATGAACTAATAGCTCCTGAAGGATATCAAAGGTCGTCTCCTTTGAAAAAAAAAAAGCGTTTCTGACACACACACTTCCCGTGACCACTCTCTTCTTTATGTTCTCTGGCCACACTTCTGTCCAATCTCTTTGCTGTTATTTGTAAACTTGTCTGTCTCCGTGGCGCGCCTTCCTAAGCTGTAAAGCTGGGACCTATGCTAAGCCTTGTCTGTCTTGAATTCCCGCTTAACACAATGCCTTGATGTCTATTGATTAAATGAATAAGGGAAAGCTTCAAAACTTGGTGAATGGGACATGGATCTCCTGAGACTAAAGAAAGTAATTGAGAGTAAAGAAGTGCTCTAATTTGCACATCAAAAGGCTGACATTTTGGGGGACAAACACCAGCCCAGAGAACTGCCAAGGAGATTAACTTGCTCGTGGAACCAAGAAAAGTCAAGGTCTTGGAAACTGGGCTTCCCGATCCGACCAGGAAACAGAAAGCGCTGTCCGCGCTGCTAGAACGCACTGATATAATAAGTGGAATCAAACTGGCCGCAGAGAAGACCCGGGCCCAGGACGTGTGGCTCCACCGTTTCCAGGCAACAACAGTCCCGCCCACCGTTTCCTCGCACTCGGCTTCTCACTTCCTTACCCAGATGCTCTCCACTCGACCAATCGATGCACAGAACATCGCCAAGTTGGGCGGTGGTTGGAGGACTCCAGGGATCCGTCACTCGGGGACTCCCGCCCCCTATTTCTTCCTGGCTGCCGGCGACGGAACTGAGCTGAGCGTTTGCGGGCTGCTGGGCAGTAGGTTGAGGTAGGTGAAGAGGCGCAGGGGTGCCCAGTGTTTTGTATCCTCGGCTCTGGCAGCATTCCAAGATACCACAGAGGGGCCTCGGGGCCTGACTCGTCCCGCTCAGCCAGTCCTTGAGGCCGCAGTGACTGAGGCCTGAGATCTGGACACCAGGGTTTTCCTTGCTGGTCTGGACTTCCTCGGGGGAGCCGGGGGACCGGGGCATTAGTGCCAGCAAAGTTTTGGTTTGGGTGGGTTCAGATGACTTCAGGGTGGGGGTGGCGCTTCACTGTGGCCCTTGGCATCAGTTCATCTAGGGCCTCTGTCTCATATCTGGCCCTTTTACTTCCTGGAATTATTCAGACCTTTTCCTAAGCCTTCTTAATCTCAAAGGTCTCTTCTGAAAGAAGGTGTCAATCCATCCTGTTAGACTAGATAGTTATGAAAGTCACCGGACTTTGTGGGTAGCCCTTCCCGCCTAGCTCTGTTCGGGCTACTTTCAGTGCAGTCCCAAGCAGACAGAGTGGTATTTGGGTAAAAACATGGCCTTTGGAGTGGCACAGGTCCGGTTTCCAATCAGGGATTCACTCTCTATCAGTAACGTGCCTTTAACAAGTTACCCTTCTGATCCTTAGTTTTTTCATCTGTAAAATGAAGCTGTCTGTCTTTCAGTGTCTCTGACTATTAAAATAAGAACATGAGGCATATAGACCAGCTTCTTCATGAAATGAGCACATGAGCCTTTGCGTATGACACTACTCTGTTAGATGGTTCTCACCAAGCAGCACTTTTGTTACCCTGGTATACTGTATATGGAATTGTGCAAGACCTTTAGTTTGTGCCCTATTGAAGACAGAATAGAAAGAGTGGTTGCATTTTGGAGACCTTTGGAGAAAAGTGCAGGATGGTTGTCCTCTGTGGAAATATCCTAGAGATCCCTGTGTGTGTGTGTGTGTGTTAAAACATATATAAATTTTACCATTTTAACCATTTTTAGATGTACTGTTCAGTGCCATTCACATTATTGTGCAATCATCACCACCATCCATCCCTAGAACTTCCCAAACGGAAACTCTAATGTATGCAGTAAACAATAACTCCTATGACCATCTTCCTACCTCCCCCTACCCCAACCCCTGGTAATCACCATTCTGTTTTCTGTCTCTATGTGCTTGACTGCGTAGACCTCATATCTTTTCTTTTTGAGTCATTGAATATTTGTCCTTTTGTGCCTGGCTTATAGAAATTCCATTTTTAAAAACAAATTTCATTATGACCTAAGTGCAGAGCCAGAAGAAGAACCCAATTACCCTTTTCTCATCTTTTTATCTATAACATAGGAATGTAATTGAAGACATTTTAAATTTTGTTAAGAGAAACTTAAAAGGCTATTACCTTCCTTCCTAAGCCACTCCTTATTCACTTTAACTTCTTTTTTTCCAGCTCAGATTCCAAATGAAAATGTTTGAGAGCATTGACTCTACAGCCACAAGATCTGGCCTGGACCTTTGGGCTGAAATTTGTTCCTGTCTGCCACAACCTGACCAACAGGATGGTGCCAGCAATGCCTTCTCAGACTCCTTTATGGATTCTTATCCTGCAGGCGCAGGCCAGAGGGAGGCCCCAGACTTTGCTGTGCAGTCAGCTGAAAAGCCTTGGGCTCCCTTGCAGGATTCAGAAGTGTATTTAGCCTCTCTAGGTAAGTTAGATTGTTTTCATTTTTAATCAGAAGCTGGTGGTTTTAAGGGAGCATGTTGAAGTTCTGTTATATCCAACCTAGTTTTCTATTATTTTATTTTGTTTTTGTCCTCATCACATGAATCTGTCAGATATAATTCTAGGGAGTGTTTCAGTCTGGTTGTTGGGAAGGAGCCCCCTTTTCCTTGTATATGTCTTAAAACAGTTTTTGTCATATCCTGCCTCTGACTGTTTCATCTAAATTCTGCTTTATTTATTGGCATTCTATAGAACCTTCTTGCCTTCTCTTGGTGGCCCATGTATTCACATAACCCAAAAGTGTCAAACCTTATGCCATCCTGAAAGAAAAGGTGATGGCCCCAGAGCTACATGTGTATTTATGATGCTACAGTTTGAGAAACTTGTATTTAATAGATTGATTATTGGAATGACAGTATATTGACACAAAATTCATTCTGCCTCTTGTGAGCCATTTTACTTTTTAAATATTTCCTGAACACATCTTCACTGTCCTGTCTGTGGTATTAAGTGTAAGTATTTAAAGAGACTGCAAACCCAGAAAGAGATTCAGATTGTCCCATGCTCCAGGAAAGAAAAATATCAGTCTTAGACAACGATCGCCAGTCTTCAGAATTGTGGTATCTTTATTATTAAACATCTGTGAGATCTATGTACGTGTCACAAAAGCAAACTGGGAGTAATTATTTGAAGAAGTAAAGGCAATTCAGGAGGAAGAAGCATTTTGAGGAAGGATAGAAAGAAGAGTTAAAGTTTAGATAATTGCTAATGAATATCCTGAAAAAACAAAAGAAATTTTATTAACCATGTACTGGATGGAAAAGATATGAGAAAAATACAGGGGGAATGGTGGATAATGAGAAAGGTGAGGGCATCATGTGAAGAGGTTGACAATTCCGTTGTGGTCGTCAGAACATCTGTGTAACAGTGATAAGGAGAAGAATCAACAGTCTGAGGAAGCTGAAGCCCCAGGTCCTTTGGCTTGTTGGTACTCTGTGTCCAGGGGTTATAAGAAACCTTCATTGGTTCGGTGATGTTTTTGATTGGCGAAGACTGATTCAGAAAGTTAAAATTCCACTGATCTTTTCTAAAGTCTGTTCAGAAGATGATTAAAGTGTCCTTCCCTGAGAAAAATAAGAGCCATTTCTGTTGCCTATGGCAGAGTCTGGGAGACAATGGCAGGCGGGTTTGGAGTATGCAGGGGCCTCTGTTTCTGCCTGGTCACACCTGATCAGGGACTCAGCACACTCAGAGAGGGGAAGACCTTTCCTGGCCCAAAAGAGTACCTTCCGCCTTGGCAACCAAGGCCAGACAATATAAAGATAGGTTTTAATGCCAAATAAACTTATATCAGAGTATCCACAAAGAGCAACAATTTAACACTTTTAGTCAACTCAACATGAGATATACATAATCCTTTTCATATCCTCCAGGAGGAAAAAAACAAACTCCTCAAATATTTAACATTTATCAACTGCAGGTTTTTCACATAGGTGAACTTTTGCTGGTAACTGGCAGCAGCCAAAGGTGTTTGTTTTGATCAGTGGGTTCTAGCTGATGTGGCTTGTTTAGGAATAAAAACAAGATTGCAAATCATAAAATTTTTATTGGTTCTGGGCTTGATGTCTACCCAACGCCTCCAAAAAGCCACCATTTGGCTACTTATTATAATTGAAGGCAAGACTAAATTAAGGCAGAAGGCAATGGTGATACCCTTTCTTGTATTTTTCAAAAGGGGATATCTGTTCATCAATTATACTTAAAATGCAAAGAAGGGTAATTAAACATCTATCATCAGGAAGCCACATGGACCACTCTCAAAGGGATTACAAGATGTTTGTTTTTATTAGGCTCCAACAACCAGGCCACAAGTAGGACAACTTAAAAAAATGTTGGGAGATTCCTTTTCTTTAATCAAGAATTTAATCATACATAGAGATCTTAAAGGTCTCTTATTATTGAGTTCTCATCAAGTCAGTTTTAGTCTCTAATGAACCATTAGATCTCTTTTCATTTTCTCTAATTCTTTCTCCTGAGGTTTGGAAACCACTTTATGATACTGTAACAAAAAGAAAAACCACTTACTCCTCAGAGAGACTATTTTCAAGAGTTGAAAAAAGACCATAGGATACACATGTCAAGACAGGGAAAACAAACTTTCCTTAGAGAGATACCTGCCGGGCTTTGTGATTTCAAAGAAAACGTGCCATCAATTTATTTAGGGGAATCTATGGTTTTCCCTCTTCTGGGGTTAAACATTTATTTGATACAATGCAGGATGAAGATATTGTGAAGGAAAAAGAAAAATGTACATTTCCCATTATCTTTCCTTCTTAAAAAAAAACTTTCTGGGAGTGTGCATGTACTCATCAGTGAGAGAATTTTTAAGTTGGCATTTTGCATTTTAGATTAGTTTTGTTTCATACTCACTTTCCTTGTTAAGCTCAACTACTTCTCTCTTTAGAAAAGAAACTGAGAAGAATCAAAGGTTTAAATCAGGAAGTGACTTCCAAGGACATGCTTCGAACCCTGGCCCAAGCAAAGAAGGAATGCTGGGATCGGTTCCTCCAGGAGAAGTTAGCATCAGACTTCTTTGTGGATGGACTTGATTCTGATGAGAGGTAACTGATTCCCAGTCCAGTTCCAGGTGATAGTCCATTTCACTGAAGGCATTTCTCTTCCTCTGAAGAATTCAGGGAGAGTGACATCTGAGTCCAGATATAAGCTGATATCAACATCAGCTTTTTTGAGCTAAAATCATCCTTTGTTAGCTCTTAGTCCAGCAGCAGATTTTTGAGAAAGGTATTTTTACCAAAAAGCAAATATTGCACATACATCTTGACCACAGATTGAACAGAGTTGAGAATAAACCATTGTCTTCATTTTTGAGTACACAGTGCGCTTGAGAAACTAGTAATCAATCAAGAGCTGGAACTGTGTCTTCTTACCTATGGCACCTCCACTGCCTTACAGAGTTTCTGTCATATTGTAGACATTCGAATTTGTGTAGACTAAATGAGTGAATTTCTTAGGCATCCACTGTGTGAAGGCACTGTGCTTGATGTCATAGGGTGAAGGGAAGATGTAAAGAAGTTGGGACCCCTTTTCTTGTCTTCAGAACTAGCTGGGGAGAGATGACAAATATACCTGAAGACATACCTAACAAAATGAGGCAGCATAAGACAAGAGCCGGAGGAGCAGAAGTGACAATGTGCTTTGGGAGTTGAGAGATCTCCCTCTGGGCTCTGGTTTTGTACAAGAAGACCAATATCTGCAGGTGGGCTGGATGAAAAAGGAGGAGAGGGTGTTCTGCCGCAAAGAGCAGGGTGACACCTGGGTCAGTAGTTCTGCCTCTTACTGGTTGTATGTTCCTAGGTAAGTAACCTGTGTGCGCCTCAGCTTCCTGTTCTATTAGCAGCAGTAGTAGCACTTACCTCATAAGGTTGGTATGAGGATTAAATGAGTTACTGTGCATAGAGCGCTTAGAACCGTGCCTGGCACATGGTAAGTACTATGTAAGTGTTAGCTATTCTTAATATTATTCTTCCTAACAGAATTTTAAAGTTCAGTAAGAAATTATTCAAAATGCAAATCGGTGAGGAGAATAAAAACCCGAATTTTAACCCATGGTCTTAGGGGGAGAATATGACCTAGCTTGAATTTGCACCATATCATTAACATTGATTTTGAGCATAGAATTTGAATAAGACTTCATTTTATTTTTTATTTGCAAAGTATTTTCACTTACATTATCTCAAATGCCACAATAGCCTGTCCCCAGATCCTTTAGAAGTTAGGGTTATATCTAAGGTCAAGTCAGCTACCCTCTGAGGGTTCAGAAGAATAATGTAAATTTTGCTCTTTTCTGTCTGAAAAGTCTCAACCCAACTGAGCCTTAAACTGCTCCAAACACAGAAACGGATTCCTGAGGCACCAATAATTATATTGTCTCCTCTTGAATATTTCCTTCCTCTCCAGTTCTGAGAAGAAAAGACAAAACTTTCTCCTGCATAATTCTCAAGTAGAAATTCTTTTTCTCTGAAATCAAAATTCTTTTCTCTGAAATCGGATTGGTACACAGGCTCAAGTTCATGTTTTTGTGTATTTATCAGTACTAACATAGTGTGGTTTTCCCTTCTCTACAGAAATAATTGAAACAATTTTATGAAGTGTGATAGATGAAGGTTAAAGGCCCATGTCGCACCTTAGTCCCTGAGCTGTGGTCACTTGTTGCCCCGAGCTTACATCTGTAGGAATGCTGCTTTCTGTCAATGTTCAGAACAAGCACCAGGAACCAGTAAATATATGTATTTGTTTTCAAACTTCAAAGTTAATGTTTTAAACAGAGGCCATTTTGTAGTGCGATTGTTGGTTCATCACGTATGTGAAGGCCAGACAGATGACCCTCCTCGTGCTATGTGCTGGGCAAGGAAGTAGTGGACTGAGAAATCCTACTGTCCGAAACATGATGCCCTCATTTCAGGGGTCTAAAACCTGCTGGTTATGGCTTCATTTCTTGGCTTACAACTTCTTGGTATTGAAGAGCACAGAATGAGGTTTACATTATTTCTAGTCATTTTGTATTTTACCAAGAATGTCTAACGGCTTTAGAGCAGAGGATTCTGGGTACTTAAAGAAGGTGGGAGGGGATACTCCCCCTTCCTCACAGATCCAAGCCAGAAAAAAAAGAGCCCTCTGGGCTAGCAGCCATTCCCTTGTCAGGGACATTGTGACTCAAGATGTTTCCATCTTGGGGACTTGCTATAGAGTGAACTAAACAAACAGAAGTACACAAAAAACCATGCTTAGTGCAACCAGGCGCTGAAGTTGTAATTGAGCCTGAGACTGCTTCCGGTATAAGAGATTTCAAGATGCTTAGGTTTCTGCCTCACTAATAATTTGGTATTTATTAGAATGTTTCCTCCCCTTGACAATTTCTCTTCTCTTCAGTTTTGAGGAAAAAAAGACGGGACTGAGGCATTAACTCTTCAGCTGTTCTCATCAAGCCTTCACAGACTGCATTTGAAGGGGGCCTGGTGCTGCTTATCACCCAAGTGCCCACTAGGGGGTAAATTATGCCACGGAGCTGCCAGGATGCACAGCTGTCAGAGAAGTATCTACGCTCCCTACATTAGCAGTGAAAAACAACTGGAGGAAGAAATAGTAGTAGGCGGGAAGGCAGTCTTTGAGTAACTGAGATAATCATTAAGTAATTAATCAGTGAGGTCTGATGCAGCCACCCTTTTCTCCTTCTCTTTCCTAGCACCTTGGAACATTTCAAGAGGTGGCTTCAGCCAGATAAAGTAGCCATCAGTACAGAGGAGGTCCAGTATCTGATTCCTCCAGAGTCACAGGTTGAGAAGCCAGCGGCCGGGGATGAGCCAGCAGCAGCGGAACAATAAATTACACACGCACACGCCGAGCAGCTGTCTTGAGTCCAGAGGGAACAGCTGAGATCTCGGCAGCAAGCGCATCAAGGAGAAATCTAGGGAGGGAAAAAAGCCCAGCCTTCCACTCCGCCAAGCAAGCAGCCACGGGCCCCCGAGAACTTGCTGGGGGCTGGCACGTGTGACTGTCTTGGGTAAAGTGACTGATCCAGTGTGTGCTGGATCAAAATACCGCCTTTCTCTCTGTCTCACAGCTCGCCTGAGCTCTGTCGCTGCAGGTGAGAAGTCTGCCAAGAATCCAGTGAAGGACCAAGTGTGAAAGTATTTGGAGAAACAGATGCCCTTGTGTATAATGTATAAGTTAAGTGAGCCGTGTTTTTTTTGCCTCTTCTGTATGTTCCCACCTGTGTCCCAAGCGTTCCCTTGATAAATTGTCAAGGGTGCCTGGGGCCAAAGAGGTTAAAGTCTGCTTCCTTGAATCCAAGCTCCATCTGGGGCTTCTCTGACAAGTCCATAATAAATATAGTGACTTTAGGAAAAGAGGCTGGGTTTTCCTTCATCTGATGTGTTCCTTGTGGGGAAGATGGATGAAAGAAGTGTGAAAATGTGGGTGTTTCTATGTGTATATGTATTTTTTTTTCATGCATGGTTTCTCCCCTAACTTCCTCCTGCACTTAAAAAGGGCCAGGTTCCAAATTACACTTGTAAATATGGTGTTGGAATTTGAAACCACTCCTGAGTAGCTCCACGCTTGCTCCTTGCAGCAGCTTTCCTGGTGAGCCTGTGCTTCCTTCCTTGTTTCTGGTGTTCTTGTTCAGTTTGTATTATCCATATAAAACTCTTCTCACCACAGTAGCCATGTTTGTGGTGCTATTGACCTGATTTTTCCAGAGAGATGCTCCCAGGCAGTGAGGAGGTAAAGAAAACACATGTCAACACAGGAGAGCTGGTAACCTTTGCCACACTTCTGTTTTTTAACATGTGCCGTCTGGGGCTAGCTCTGAGGCTAGGATTCTAAGGTCATGGCTCCAAAGGAGATTCTTTCTGGGTAATAGGTTCCAAATCCTGAATGATGAGCTCTTCATAGAACTCTTCATAGAACATTTTCTCATTTCTAAATCAAGTATCTGACTTGTCCAAAAGGATGGGAATCAACCAGGTGATTCCATATACTTGCTTAATTGTATGAATTTTTTGTTGTAATTTCCAGATGTATTTTCCCTTTTCTCTCACCATTGACTAATGGTGTTAGTTTTTTTCCTACTGTTTTTTATTAGTAGGACACTTTTGACATAGAGAGTGACCTTTTGTGTTCCCCAGACACTTTGAGGAAGCCAGACACTGACAATCATCGGGCCCTGGACTGAGCTTGCAAGGGGTTCTGCCTGGGGTTCAGGTGTCAGACCTCACTCTTCCTACAGGGCCATCTGATGGCTTTCCAGTGGATGGATAGGTTTAACAAGAAAAAAAACAGCCTAATATCTTTTCTTCTCCCTGCATGATAAACAAAATTATTCTTCCTCAGTAACAACAATTTAAGAAAAAAAGCAATAAAGTCCCAAAATACTCTCCCAAAGAGCAGCTGAATAGGATGGTTAGAGAATGTTTCTGTGCCAGAAAATAGTGTTTCTATAATTTAGGCAAGATTCTAGCTTTGCCTTTTCCCTACCTCCCATTTTCTACCTCAGAAAGAGAAATCTTGGTACGAGAAGGTGGGGAGTTGCTTTAGAGGAACTAAAAAGGAATTGTAGGACTGAAAGGTGTTTGGCCCAGGGTGGAAACCAGGAGAGGGTGTGGAGAGAAGGCCCTGGATCTCTGGCTACTTTCTCACTTAACTACTCAACAGAGACAGGGTTCCGCAGAAGGGAGTCCAATGCGTTGTAACTATGGTTTCCTAATTGTTTTAGAGCTGACCACTTAAGTGATGGCTCTATAAGAAGGTGAAACTCCCATTTACCAAAAACAAATTTGATATAACTTCCCAGAGCTAACTTTTAATTTTATATATATAATAATATATATAGTGAAAGTACTGGAGATTGAACCCAGAACCTCATGTATGCTAAGCACACACTCTACAACTGAGCTACACCCACCCCCTCCCAAAGTTAACTTTTTAATATAAATTTACCTTAGGCTATTGAAGTAGTACTAAATTTAAAACCCAGAGTCTTGGGTGCTATCTTTATCCATCCTGTGGCTTACTGTGGGACCATAAATAAGTCAAATGACCTCTTTGTATTCCAGTTCCCTTTCAGTAATTGCACTAACCAGAGGAAAAACTGTATTGGCCAAAGATGCTGATCTGTTTCCTTTGACCCTGGAAACTCCCAAGGAACTCCAGTTAGGACTTCCTCAAATCAGTAAAATTTATAAGTTGAGAGAGCCTTTCTTATCACCCCCAGCTTTCTTCCTTCCTCATGTCCTTAGTGAAACAGAAAGTGAGAGCAAATGGAGAAATACTTCGTGCTAAACCTCAGAGCCAGAGAAGGGCAATTACCAACAGGACAAAACAGCATGACGGGCTCTCCCCAGAGAAGGCTGGGTTGGAGCCAGGGAGATAAGCTAAGTGACGGCTGCTGTTCTCCCCCGGCGTGGCGCTTGTTGCGATCAGTGCTGGGATGGCACAGGCTTGTGTCCAGTACCTGCTCCAGAAATAGGCTCTGGACATAGGCACGGCAAGTAAACAAATGTCCCACCAGCTGTTGCCGAGGTGTGTCCCTCTCAGGCAGGCCTGCCCACCAGGACGATTGCTGCAAGACTCAAAGACACCCTGGAGCCACTCCCTGGCCCTGACTTGGAGTGAGTCCCCCAAAGCTGGAAACAGCTCCAGCCACATACAATGGCCGATATCTTCCTGGAAATTCCAAGCTATCCCAACCAGCTTTGGCCCTACTTCAGTTATAAGGTTCAAGATAGGACACTGCCATAGCAATCTCAGGCTTGTGGGAAGGCTGTTTATTTGAACCCAGTGGGCAATTTAAGGCGCAGATTCATTCGTCTAAGCAATACTTGTTGAGCCCCTGCTATGCTTCAGGCAGTGCACGTGGTGGCAAATAAAACAAAACCATATCTTCCCACTTGGATTGATGGAGAGGGAGATACAGCCTAGCAAACTGGTGCTGTAATCACTAATGCTGTCGAGTGTCAGCACAAGCACAGGGTGCTTTGAGAGCATATGGGAAGGAGATATGAGAGCCCTAGGCCTATTGGGTGGGAGGCAGGAGAGAGGCCAAGTTGGGGAAGCTGAGTCCAGACAAATGAGCAGCCATTTAAGAGAATAGAGGGATAAAAGCAGGGGGGCAGAGAAAAGTCCCAGAAGAGGAAAACAGCAAGTACAAAGGCCTAAAGGCAAAAGTAGGTTTGGATGGGGTGAGGGATATAGCTCAGCGCAGAGCACATGATTAGTATCCCGGGTTCAATCCTCAGTACCTCCATTAAAAAAAATTTTTGGATAATGGAAAGTGGTTCAGTGTAGCTGGAGCATAAAGGACAAAGCATCAGAAGATATGATACCACTTATATGTGGAATCTAATAAAAAAGACACAAATGAACTTATTTACAAAACAGAAATAGACTTATAGACAGAACAAGCATGGTTACCAGGGAGGAAAGGGCGGGGGAGGGGGAGGGATAAACTGGGAGTTCGAGATTTACAGATACTAACTACTATATATAAAATGGGTAAACGACAAGTTTACACTGTATAGCACAGGGAACTACATTCAACATCTTATAGTAACCTATAATGAAAAGGAATATATGTATGTACATGTATGACTGAAACATGATGCTGTACATCAGAAATTGACACAACATTGTAAACTGACCGTATTACAATTAAATAAAAAAAGAAGATGAGGTCTGAAATTAAACAAGACCTGGTTTGAAGGGATTTATAAATCATGTTAAGGAATTTGGGATTTACTTTAGGGGCATCCGGGAGCTAAAGGATCATTTTAAGAGGGGCACTGACAGGATCAGAATTGCTTCTAGAAAGATGATTATGGCTGCCGTGGGTGTGACATGTTTACATTGATCAGGGGAGCACCAATTCACACTTGGCAATGATCTGTCTACATGAAATAAAGCAATCAGATGGCTCGTGGTTTTCCTTTGTTTTTCTTTTCCAGCTTGATTTCTTTGAAGTTCCTTTTTCACTGTTACAGAACAAATAGAATCATGTATGGCAGATTGTATTCTCCAAAGACGGCCATCTCAATATATCACATCCCGCGTTTTCATCTTACAGTGTGGTGTGGACACTCCTCCACTGAGATGTTGGGTCAATATTCCCTCCCCTGGAACCTCGGGAGACCCATGTAACTGCCTGCTAATAGAGTAGAGCACAAATGATGTGACTTCTGAGGCGAAGTCACAAAAACATTCCACCTGGGATCTCTTGCCTTTCTCTCTCAGTATGCTCCTTGGTAGTTCTGAGCGGACATGTACGAAGGCTGGCTACCTAGAAGCCACCATGCTAGAGAGGCCCCACATAGAGCTAGAAGTGCTCCCGCAGTTTAGTCCCTGGCTGTTTGAGTCTTCCGACCCCGGGCATCAGACATATAAGTGATTCAAATGATTTCAGGCCCTAGCCTTCAAACCACCCCAGCTGACACCAAGCGGAACAGAGACAAGCTGTCCCTGCAAGCCCTGTAGATTTCCGAAAAGAATAGATACCATGGTTTCAGCCACTACGTTTTGAGTTGGTTACTCAGCAATCGATAACTGGTACACCATAACCTAGGTTTGAGATTTTACGTAGCTAATCTTAAGTATTTTCTTTTGCCGTGCCTTCCAGTTTCTGATGGCTACAGAATTTAAATACTTCTGCTGGGTGCAGTGTGGAGATGAGCAAATGGGATGCAGGGACCAGCTGGGAGGTGGTTGCCGTTGCCTGAGAAAGAAATGAGAGTGACTTGAGGACTTGTCTTTTCACTGAGGATGTAAAATGCTGCAAGAAAGTGTCACTCCCACTTTAACAATGAGAAATAGCCAGATAATCCACAAAATCAGAGCTTTTCTTGAGCCGTCAGAAAGCTGAGGTCACAAGGCAACAAAGTAAAGCCTCTTCAACAAGAGAGAGACACACACATGAACAAGTTTCAGCTTCAGCAGGACATGGGAGACAGGGGTGGCTGTCACACAAGCGGGTAAGATGAAACCAAACAAAAATTTTAACAGAAGTTTAAGGGCTACATATGGGCTAGTATGTCAGTTTGGAATAGCGGGAGACTATTTCAGACACAGGGGAGTTTATACTCACAGGCAAGCTTTTTTCCACAGGCCTCCCCTGAGGTTCATGAGAAAAAGTGGGAGCAGGGCAGGAAATGGGAGCGAGCCCTCCTCCTTGGCGGTGGAAGCACAAAGGAGTTGATTAGGGCAGCTGCTGGGGGAAGGCGAAAAGCCTCAGCTGCTTCTACAGTCCTTCTCACCAATAAGCAAAAGCCTCAAGTCTTGCTTCAGGGGCTGGAATAAAAGCAAAACTCACCTGCTTCTGGGTAAGGAGCAAAAACCTTCCTGTCCTTTTGAACACAGGCAAAACCCACTGCTTCTGGGGGGAGAACAGAAGCAAAAGCTCTCTACACAAAAGGGGAGAAGCAGGAAACTGTCTTGGGCTGAAAATTCAAGCACAGGTCTGCTCTGTTGGGGGAGCCTGGCTACCCCAAACCAA